AATGCACTGTTAGAAAAAAAAATCATACAATCTTCCCTAGTTCAGTATATCTAATGTTTTGTGGAAGGATTTGGGAAAAAACCCAACCAAGATGTCAGCGTGACACATTTTTTCCTTATTGCTTCCACTATCCCTTGCAGAAATTTAAAATAAAGCTTGAGTAGTGAGAGAGGATTTGCTGGTTTCACCTTGGGATAGATCTGCTCCTGCCTAAATCTTTTGGCTTTGATTTAAACACATTGCATGAAAGATCAGCCTTCTGGATAGGGTGGGGGCTTTCTGAGTTATCAAAAGTATATAATCAAACTTCAGGGCCCACATTAAGAAATGTGATTAATATACAGGATAAAAGAGAAGAATCAATCATATAGATGTCATGAAAAGAAATAAAAGAGCTGATGTCCTAAATCACCTGGATTAGAGGAACCAACATTTAGGGACTTTTCTCACTTGTATTTAATTGTGGCAGAAACAAGCCCTGACAAATATTTTTCTGCTGCAATGTTACTTATATCTGTTCCCAACACATGAATGGGGGAGACTTCATTTAAAACCTTAGCTGAGTTTCCTTCTTTATCTGAATATCATTCAAAGACAACTGCAAACTGTGTAAAATCTGTACATTTTGTCACCTATTACTTTGGAAGAGAGTCAAATGAATTAACATAGAGGCAACATATTTCTTGGGATGAGTGGACCTGTTCCATCACTCTTAGTGACAGCAGTAATAAAATAAAGCTAGTTTGGCCTAGTGCAGGGGTAAGCAACCTTGGCTCTTTTATGACTTGTGGACTTTAACTACCAGAACTCCTGAGCCAGCCAGGAATTCTGGGAGTTGAAGTCCATGAGTCATAAAAGAGCCAAGGTTGCCTATCCCTGGCCTAGTGGTTAAGGCACTAGGCTGGAAGGCCAGAAACCATGAGCTCAAGTCCTGCCTTAGCCATGAAAAACAGCTGGGTGACTGGGCCAGTCATTCTCTCTCAGTCCAACCCACATCACAGGGCTGTTGTGGAGAAAATAGGAGGAAGAAGACGTGTTGGATATGTTCATTGACTTGAGTTATTTGTAAAACTAATAAAGGTGGGATATTAATTACCAAATAAATAAAAATGTCTAATTCCCCAAAATTAAATTCCTATATATACCTTTGTCACCAACCCAGTAGACATTTCAAGGATATGCTGGAATTTCCCACCTAATTATTCATTTCTACTAAAAATTGTAAAAGAGATTTATGAAAATAAGTCCAAGACTAGACCTCCTTCAGGACAAGAATAAACATTTGCTTCTCCAGGAGATGTCATTATCATCAAAACATAGGAGTCCTAATAAGGAACAGAACGTTTTGTTTTGTTTGAGAGTTCTCTTTGAAAAATGAACTGAAATGACAAGGTTATTTTCCTCATTAATGAACTAAAGAAACGAAGGAGACGTTAAATACAAATGATATATTAGAATACATTAGAATTCAACTTTCATTTGAAGGATGTCTTTGAAAAAAGGCAAGGGCTACTGCCGTTTAAAGTACATATAGAATAGAGTGACCTAGATTAGCCTTCTCCAATTCAAAGGGCGCAGACTAGGCTGCACTCCCAGCAACCCAGCATTTATTGCTGATTGGGATGTTACATTTCAACACATCAGGCTGCTATGTCGGGAAAATCTGAGTCATGTTATTTCCAGTTGCTAAAAAACTTAGGAATGTAGAACAAAAAGTTGAATGAGGATGGTGCTCTGTTCTGCTATCAGAATATTTTTATTGTGTCTGGCAAACCCTCTGCATCTCCACTAAAGTTAATAAAACATCCCTGTTTAGCTCTGTGAGGTAAATGGGGTTTATATGCTTCCCCAAGGTTGCTGGGTTTTATTTCACAGAATCCAAATTTTGCCCTTTTTCTTGTATGTCTGTATCTGTTAATGATGTTTGGCCTGTGTTTCTAACTCTTTAAGTCGCCAGCTGCGAGAACTGACATGCCACTCAGAACTTCCCTTTAGAATCTTTCTCAGCTGAATCTGTTCTGAAAAAAAGAAGAAGTTAGGAACAGGGAAGTCAGAACAGACACCTGAGGAAACAAAAGCATTGTTCTTTATTTATGAAATTAATGTGACAAGTTCAGAGAATAGGGTAGGGTAGGGTAGGGTAAGGTAGGGTAGAGTAGAGTAGGATAGGATAGGATAGTTTAGCAATAGAATAGAATAGAATAGAATAGAATAGAATAGAATAGAATAGAATAGAATAGAAAGGGACCTTGGAGGTCTTCTAGTCCAGCCCCCTGCTCAAGCAGGAGAACCTTTCAGTAAGTAATGCTGAAAGCCAGTGTCAACACTTTCTTTTCTAGAAATCTGAGCAGATGTCATGTTTAACCTGTCTCCCCCCCCAAAACCCCATCCAATTGAATTAGGTATTAAATGGCAACACAAAGACCATTTATGGAACAGGTCCTTCTCCCACCTCACCTATTTCCTCCCACTGAACATTCCGTCCACTGTACATATTTCTGCTGTGATCTGAAATTCACTTTGCCAGGTTGCTTGTAATTTCATTTCTGCCTTCACTTCCACCTTTGTACACAGCCTCCTCGGTGCACCCTGATCATGTGCAAACACAGAAGGAGAACAGAAATCCCGAGATAATTTATGACATTAAGCCAAAGTATTTTTCACTCTCTCATGAGCGGCACACAAGTGAGAGAGCGGTATTTTGTGGGTGGAGAACATGTACTACATAAGGATTATTAAAAATGTGGGGTCCTTGGTGTTCTCTGAGCTTGGTGGTTTTCTTGCAGACATTTCATTACCAAATTAGGTAACATCACCAGTGCGAGAAGGGAATAGCATTTGCTATTATTCTTTTTCTCTTTATTAAGTCTTAGTATTAAAAACAATGTTGTTGTTAATTGCGAAGTCGTGTCCGACCCATCGCGACCCCATGGACAACGTTCCTCCAGGTCTTCCTGTCCTCCACCATCTTCTGGAGTCCATTTAAGTTCACACCTACTGCTTCAGTGACTCCATCCAGCCATCTCATTCTCTGTCGTCCCCTTCTTCTATTGCCCTCATTAGGCCCTTCTCCAGTGAGTCCTTCCTTCTCATTAGGTGGCCAAAGTATTTGAGTTTCAACTTCAGGATCTGGCCTTCTAAAGAGCAGTCGGGGTTGATCTCTTTTAGGACTGACCGGTTTGAACGCCTTGCAGTCCAAAGGGACACGAAGGAGTCTTCTCCAGCACCATAGTTCAAAGGCCTCAATTCTTTGGCGTTCAGCCTTTCTTATGGTCCAACTTTCACAGCCATACATTGCAACTGGGAAAACCATGGCCTGGACTATACGCACTTTTGTTGGCAGGGTGATGTCTCTGCTTTTTAGTATGCTGTCTAGATTTGCCATAGCTTTCCTCCCCAGGAGCAAGCGTCTTTTAATTTCTTGGCTGCAGTCCCCATCTGAGGTGATCTTTGAGCCCAGAAAAATAAAATCTGTCACTACCTCCATTTCTTCCCCATCTATTTGCCAGGAATTGAGAGGGCCGGATGCCATGATTTTGGTTTTCTTAATGTTGAGTTTCAAGCCAACTTTTGCACTCTCCTTCTTCACCCGCATCAAGAGGCTCTTTAGTTCCTCTTCACTTTCTGCCATTAGAGTGGTATCATCTGCATATCTTAGGTTGTTGATATTTCTCCCAGCAATCTTAATTTCAACTTTTGATTCATCTAGCCCTGCCTTTCTCATGATGTGCTCTGCATATAAGTTAAATAGGCAGGGCGACAGTATACAGCCTTGCCGGACTCCTTTCCCAATTTTTAACCAATCAGTGGTTCAGTGTCCAGTTCTCACTGTTGCTTCTTGACCCGCATATAGGTTTCTCAAGAGACAAATGAGATGGTCTGGTACTCCAAACAATATTAAAATATTAAAAAGACAGACTATGGGACACTACATACCATAAAGCTGTGAGTAGCACTTTATTGTAAATGGGAAAACAAAATGGGCTTTGTTAGACCTCCCATTGCATCAGACTTCAGGTCATGGAAAGAATCAGTTCATAAGTGACACAATAGCCATGTGTCTCACATAAATTGTTCTAATACACAATACAGAGATTTAATTTGGGATCTACTGTGGGAGGTCCACAACTTCAGAGCCACTGCAAACTTGGATTAAAATAAAATTAGTATCTTCACTGACTTTTTTTTAGTGAACTTCATTAACTGATTTAATGGTTTTACAAAGAACTACATTTAGGAGAGCTGCCAAGTGCCTGCCTATAATTGCAGCAAGGTGTAAACATGATAAATAGCTGTAGTACAGATACGTTGCTTTTTAAATAGTTTAATAAGTGTATTGAGCACAATTGGTTTCCTTTGTAATACAATTTATATTATTTGGTGTGTTTAAATGCATGCTTCTGAGAAGGAGTTGATAGACTCTCAAAGGGGTCTATGGCACAAAGAGGTTAAGAACCTCTGTTGCATTGTGTATGCCTGTAATAATAGTAATAATAATAATAATAATAATAATAATAATAATAATAATAATAATAATAATAATAATAATAATAAAGTTGGAAGGGACCTTGGAGGTCAAGTCCAAACCCCTGCTCAGGCAGGTAAGCCTATACCATTTTGGAAAATGGCTGTCCAGTTTCTTCTTAAAAACTTCCAGTGTTGGAGCACTCACGGCTTCTGGAGGCAGGTTGTTCCACTGGTTAATTGTTCTAACTGTCAGGAAGTTTCTCCTTAGTTCTAGGTTGCTTCTCTCCTTGGTCAGTTTCCATCCATTGCTTCTTGTCCTTCCTTCAGGCGCTTTGGAGAATAGCTTGACTCCCTCTTCTTTGTGGCAGCCCCTGAGACATAGGATAGGATAGGGTAGGGTAAGGTAGAATAGAATAGAATAGAATAGAATAGAATAGAATAGAATAGAATAGAATAGAATAGAATAGAATAGAATAGAATAGAACCTTGGAGGTCCTGTGTTTGCTGCATGCACAGATTACATTACATCATAACAAAGATAATATAGTAACAAAGGATTATGTCAATACCTTTAAATCTATGGGCTCCAAGTGCCATCGATTTAAGTCTATGTTAGAAAGTGGGCTATTATGCAAAGCAACTCTAGCCCTTGAAAATCTATGTGGTAAGGAAGAACATTCAACCTCTCAAAATTCTTGCAACACTGAGACAGAAAAGTCACCAAAAGTTCAGGGGAGGAGATGCCTTTTTTATCAAAACATGATTTGGCAACCTCATTATGTTACAATTCATTGTTTGCCAAGCCTTTTAATTCAAGTTTCCCTTGTGCAGCACAGGATTATCTCCATCTCACTCAAAGCACATGATTATTCTCCCTCATTCCATCCCATTTTGCTGCCAGCACACATCAGGAGGAAGATGCTTAGGCAGATGTTGTTTATGATCAAGAGTCTGATGACCTGAGATGTGTTCTTTTCCAGCTGATTGTGGAGTTTCTCTTTTCTGTCTGAGTTTACATCTATCAAAACAGAACAGCATTTTTTCCATCTAAATAGGGAGTGGAATAGAATGTTCTTTTGTTCTGGGACTGCCAATAGTTTGCAATCAATCAAAACGAAACAAACATTTGGGCTAGCATCTGCATGCATCTAGATGTATCTCACCAGCTTACTAATACAGGACAAATATCCTAGTACTTATTATAACATTACTGATCATTGTACAGAGATAGTGGGAGTAATCAATCACCTTGATCTAGATTAAGATAGCTCCTGCCCTTGTTTCAAATGTTTGGATTTGGCAGAATGGAAGTGACCTACATTAGAAGCTAAGATGCCAAGCTAAAGTTTCTGGCTATCACATCTTTTCCAACTTCCATGACATTTCCTTGGTTTTTCTAACTTTTTGCAGTTGAGCAGTCCATGTAAAGACTCACAGCACACCCTTCTTTATGAAGAGGAAGCCAGGGGTTACCACTCAAGTTCTCAGAAATATGTTTATGCCAGAAGAACAAATTACTCATAGTTATAGTGAGTGATCTCACTATATCACTTTGTAATACAACTGATGTCATGGTTCCTTTGAAAATAATTTCAGCTTAGTTTCAGTAATCAATTAGTTTCTTATCATTTGTGATTTCTTATCATTTCTTGTGCACCAAGAAATGTATGCAAATCTATGAAAATGTTTTTGCAATCAATTTCATCTATGTAGCATTTTTATATGTTATTTTCATTAACATGCTTTTGGGACTGGAAAAGTATAAACGGAAGTAGATCTGTGCTTTGGTAAAAGGCAGAATGCAAAAGTTTGATTCAGATGTGAATTAATTAGTTTTCCCTATCTATGTTCTTTTGATCACTGTATTAATTAATAAAGGCAGGATGGGGGGGGAGTCATGGTCTCTTTCTCAATTCCCGAAAAATGCTATATTCTCTCACTATTATGACCTCCTCTTTCCTGGATTTCAAATCCTGTTGTTAGTATTGCCATGTGCTGGAAATAGAAGCAATTGAATGACTGATCCATGAATTTAGATGTCAGTTCTCATATGGTTAGAGCTTGTGAAAATAAGTTACTTTTAGTCTAGAATATGGGGATATGGGGCCAAGAAAAGAGGAACAAAACAGTCTGCATTTGAAATCTGTTAGAAGAAATCTTTTCAGAAGGCTTTGGAAATGTAAAATACTAAATTTCAGAGGTATTGAGATTACCTGGAATCAAATAGAATTCTCTTGGAATTTTTTTTTATATATATCTACATCTGTAATGCTTTCTCTAATGATTTGATAAGTAAATGACAAGGCTTCCTAAGTCTCCATTTGCTGCCTTTTTTTTTTTTCATTTGGAAAGTGAAGGTATTAACAGCTGCCTCTGAACTGGGTAGAGGCAATTCCAAAGAGGTATCATCTGTTTCGTGTTTCAATTCCTAATCTTAGCATAAGAAGGAAGTCCCTGCTAAAGTAGCCACTGCTGAAAAGACGGATTAAACCATTTGAAGGATTAGTCCTCTGCGCTGCTGCATCCATGAGTCCTTCTACAGCAATCTCTCTCTTGATGTTCATAATGTGGAGATGCTGCGCCCGAGAACAACCAGAGCAGCATCCACCTGCTACTGGATTTCAGAAGTGCCAAGAAGCCTTGAACCGTCCTATGTTGGGAGTTCTTCCTGGAGGTGGCTGGGATAATCTGAGGAACTTGGATATGGGTAGAGTGATGAGCCTCAATTACTCTTTGTGCCAAACTACAAAAGATGGGGCTTACATCATCCCCAATGGCATCTTCACCATTGCTCTTAAACAAAGCTTGCTGGAGATGAACTCTGAGATCGTTGAGTCTTGGATGGATTATCAATGTAGCACTGCCGCTTCCATCAACGCAGGGCTGTCTTTTTCTCATCTCAATGGCAGGTTCTCCAGTGACTTCCGCAGGGCGAAAACTCACCAACTGAGAGATAAGTCTGTATCCACAAAAGTTCAGATCAGGAATCTGATGTACTCTGTAAAAATGGACCCTTCCGCAAAGTTAGACGAAGGCTTCCAGCAACAGCTTGTCACCATTGCTAGCCAGCTGGAGAAAAACAAGACTCAAATGGCTAACTACTTGGCAGAAGTCTTAGTGTTGAACTATGGCACTCATGTTCTCACTGGAGTAGATGTTGGAGCCAGCCTTGTTCAGGAGGACTATATCAAAGCTTCCTTTGTGAAAGATGGTCAGTCCAGGAGAAGTGCTATCACTGCTGCAGCTGGTATCTCTTTCCAAAACATCATCAACTTTAATATGGGTGTTTCAGTGGGCACAGAAGACAGTTTCACCAAGCAATACCAAGGCAACCGTACCAGTTCTAGAGTGGAGAGCTTTGGGGGTCCACCTTTTTATCCTGGGATTACCCTGAAAACCTGGCAAGAAAGTATCACCAATCAGCTAGTGGCTCTTGACCGTTCAGGCTTGCCTTTGCCATTCTTCATCACCCCAAATAATTTGCCAGGACTGCCCAGCCCCATTCTGAAAAAATTGTCCCAGACTGTAGAATCTGCCATTGACCGCTATTATACATTCAACACTTATCCCGGCTGCATCAATCCAACCTCACCCAACTTCAACTTCTATGCCAATGTGGATGATGGCACTTGTGAAGGGATGGCAACTAATTTTACCTTTGGGGGTGTCTACCAAGTCTGTGCTCGATTAGAAGGCCCTGATGCTGACGTGCTCTGCCAAGCCCTCGAGCAGAAGAACCCGCTCACTGGAGACTTCTCCTGCCCTGTGGGTTATACCTCCGTCAAACTGCGATCTCAACAACGTGAGGAAGGATTCAGCCACTTGGATTGCCATCAAGATTGCTTTCTTTGGAAACTCTTCTGCAATTGGATTTGCAATGACATTTTCACACTCTCCAAAGTGCAGTTTAGCTCCCACTGGTGTGCAGCAAGAGGCCCCGTCCTTGAAACCTCCACATTTCTCTTTGGAGGACTCTTCAGTTCCAAAAATACTAATCCTGTCACTAATGCTCAGTCCTGTCCCTCCAGGTACTACCCACTGAAGCTTTTTGACCAGCTCAAAGTATGTGTGAGTATCGATGAGAGGGGAAAGCGACATTCAGTGCCCTTTGGGGGGTTCTTTAGTTGCCAAATTGGAAACCCACTGTCCGGATTGCCTAATGGAACAGAAAATGACTCATATCTCAAAAGGTGTCCAGCAGGGTTCAGCCAGCATCTGGCTCTGATCAGTGATGGCTGCCAAGTGGAATACTGTGTCCAAGCTGGCCGCTTTACAGATAAGTCTTTACCTCAAGCCCGGCTGCCCCCCTTCACTCGCAGGCCAGCCATCAGCTTCCTTGCTACTGACATCATCCTCATTACAAGCAGCAATGGGGATCAGACCTGGGTCAAGGATCCTCAGACTCAGCAATGGAAGTCGGCCAACTCGGATGATGTGCTCCACTACCTGAAGAGAGGTGGGAGTACTGGTGGGAGTTTGTCAAATGGAGAAGCAGCAGGGATCACTATTGGAGGAATTGCTGGCTTGGTCATTTTGATCGGACTAGTTGTCCATGTGTGTAAGAGATACAAGAAAAGGGAGTTTAGCAAGACAGAGGGAGAGAAGACATGTCTGATGTCAAATAATCCTGTCTATGGCCTCCTAACTAAAATGAAGGATACACTCCAGCCAGAGCAGGAAAAGCAACCAATTTAGTGGCTTATTAACTTCATGTCTTTTTATCTATAAATCCCAAAATTCTGGTATGGCCATTAGTTGTGCTGACCGGGTTCTAACAAGCTTTGCTATGGGCTTTTACTCATCTCTTATTACAAGCAATTTATAACCCTAAGCAAGTTACCAAGTTCCTTTTTCTGCTGTCTTTCACTCTACTCTGGAGTTAGAGACAAATCGGGGACAAAAAGTCTCTTTGCTTTCTATTTGATTAGAAATATTGACAGCTGCCCTATCCTGGGCCAAGTCACTGGTCCACCTGGATTGCCGCTGTTGACATCAAGTGGCAGCAGCAGTTCTGGTATTTCAGAGATTGGCCCAAGAGCACCCGGCACCCAAATTAATTCTATGCATGCATGTCCTTTTGTTGCGTGTAGTCAGCTTGCAAGTTAAGGTTAAGAAAATGGGGGGATTAAGGGGATTGCTATGGGCATACAGAAGAAAATAGTTATTGTCATTGAATTATATTAAAAAAAACTGGAGAGATATTGTAATATCACCACGGGCAATGCAATTCACACTGAATGTTTGAAAAATGTATTTGGTTGAGGCTATTTTGATAACCCTTGAGAACGTGTGCAAAATTTCAGATTGGCAACATGGTGATGCTATAGATCAGGGGCCCTCAACCTTGGCAACTTTAAGCCTTGTGGATTTTAACTTCCAGAATTCTTTGCTGGCTGAGGAATTCTGGAAGTTGAAGTCCACAAGCCTTAAAATCGCCCAGGTTGAGGGGCCCTGCTATAGATAAGACTTGTAAATAACCATTTATCTCATATTTTTGTTCTGTGCCTTTTGTATCTTATACATGCCCAAATCAGTAGTATGTGAATAAATCAGAAATGCTCCTGCTAGAATGGTATGTGGATTGATCTTTTTTCTTCCAACAGCTCATTAAAAAGCACATAAGTTGCAATGGTGTGCTCAGAAATGTGGAGGGGCAAGCACTGCCTGAATAGACTTACAAATTTGCTACCTCCAATCATCTGCTCTTTTGGGTCTATCTCCTGAGGGACAATCTTCAACCTGGATGCCCTCTGGATAGGCAGAGTTCAACTCCCAGAATGTTCCAGCTTGCTTTGTCATTGCTGAGAACTTTGGGAGTTGAAGCCCATTATTTGAAGAGCCTCACAATTTAGAAAAACTGCTGTAGAACATGGCCTATTTTCAGCCTCCAGGTTTGACAAGGCCTATCATCTCACTATAGCTGATTGCAGAAACGGTGTGGGAAACCTTCCATTTTAAATCAAGAGGATTATCCCTTCTTGTTCAAAAGAGCACAGGGAAGCTACTGTTTAGCCTGTATTTAAAGTCCTAAATAGCAATAGCATTTAGACTTATATACTGGTTCATAATGCTTTACAGCACTCTTCAAACCAGAGTCAGCAAATTGCCCCTGGCAATCTGGGTCCTTGTTTTACTGATCTCAGAGGATGGATGGCTGAGTGAACCTTGAGCCGGTCAGGATCAAACTCCTGGCAGTGGGCATAGTTAGCCTGCAATTCTGCATTCTCCAGCATGATTGGATGGAGAACCCACGGATGGGGTTGTCTTAATCTATCTGCTCCAATTAGACTAAGTCTGAAATTTAGTACCGCCCCCTCTGTGCCAACTGCACCCCAGTTTTAGACTTAGTCTCTTTGCCCCAAGACGCGTTTTATCTTCGCTCCTGGAGCAGAAGACTGTTTAATTCTATTTAATTACTTAGCTCAGGCTATTATTATTATTTGTTATTTTATTATTGATTCAGAATCGATTATATCTAGAAGATCAATTATCCCAGTCTGAAGCCTATTCAGGCTGACAGACTCACAATCCTCTCCCTCTAGGGGGGGGGAAACTTTTCCCTTCTTTGTTTTCCCTCAGTTAGGGACAGCAAGATCAAACCTTTGATTTAGGTCATTTTCAGAGCCTCATCAAGCCTGGAGGGAGCCTTCCCAGGTCCCTCGGCCCCAGCAGAGAGCAGCAGGTGAGAATTTGGGCGCGGCCCAATTTTCGGAGCCGGGAGGGCCTGTCAGGCCTTGGATGACAGCTACTGTTTAGCCTGTATTTAAAGTCCTAAATAGCAATAGCATTTAGACTTATATACTGGTTCATAATGCTTTACAGCACTCTTCAAACCAGAGTCAGCAAATTGCCCCTGGCAATCTGGGTCCTTGTTTTACTGATCTCAGAGGATGGATGGCTGAGTGAACCTTGAGCCGGTCAGGATCAAACTCCTGGCAGTGGGCATAGTTAGCCTGCAATTCTGCATTCTAACCACTGCGCCACTACGGTTCCTTAATAATTAGTTATGTTAGTGAGCCATTTTGAAAACATAGCAACAATTGGCATTAGTAAGATGCAACACACTCAAGCCAAACTGTTATATAGTCTTACTTTCAGATTTAGTGAAAATCTACACTCTTACATTGCCTTTAGGTTATTAATCAAGTGGGGAAAGCTCTATAGGAATTTATAGGAAGTAACTGTATCTAGAATCCAAGGGCTACTCACAATTGATTGATGAGTGTCCAAATTGAACTCAGCTCCCAATGACTTTGTAATGTACTTCTTTCTTTTGGTAATAATACTGGGAAGGTTTGTCACTATCTTCTACTAGGATGCCTTTTCCACCCTCCAGACTAGCATTTACCCCTGGGATTTCCTAACGGTCTCCCATCTCTATATTTCTCAAGCCAGATCTTGTTTTTTTAACTGAGACAAGATCAATAAGATCTTAGTTTGTTGATTACCACTGATGAGAAAGATCTTTACCATACACAAGTCTTCTTTCTTCTTGCACTGACTAAAATCCCCTTGTTATAATCCACATTTCTTTATGCTTAGCAATTCTAGACTTTGGAAAAACTACTGCTAATTTTCTTTTCCTTTTCTCCGGCATTTATTTTAGCTCTGGCAACCTGGGAAGATGGGAAAAGCTGACTGTCACGCTCACTTGTAGATTAGAAGTACCTGGATAGTGCAACATAGCTAAAACATACTTGCTTCTCCACCCCCTAATTGTAAACTTAAAATGGATAATGTAAGGATTTAACAAGACTATATTTTCTAGATTTTTACAAGCAATGCTGTAGAACCAAGTTAGGTAATTATAAAGGTAAATCGCATTTTCTCTTTTCAAGAGGTAGAAATATACAGTAAGTTGCATTAGAACATCAGGCATGGTTAATATTTCTCTTCTTTTTGGTGAGCAGGGACATTTTGTAATATTGTTTGATGGATGGATGGATGGATGAATGGATGGATGGATGGAAGGAAATGGGGAAAGAGAAAGGACAGCATTCAAAGCAACTTCACATGTTAGATCTTACTCAGTGATACAAAGTGCGGATGAAGAGCAGTAGAGAGGGCTTTTATCTTTCAAAAAGTAAGATTTTTTTTCTCTTTTCCTCCTCTCTCTCTTGAACTGACCCCACAAGTAAAGCACAAGTCTGGTGCATTAGCACCATTTATTCCCTTGAGAATAGGACCACTGTGCTCAGTTCTTCTTTACATGAATGCATATCCTCGTGGGAAGGGTATTAGAAAAAAGGAGTTTTCCACAATGTCTCATTGAGTCACTCTCCCCACTCCTGGGAGGAAAGTCCAGTTTTTGGACAAGGGCCTTTGTGGTGCCCTTGTTGGACTTCTACACAATAACCTATTTTTACCAGCACTTGAGTTACTTTCATTCTTGTTTTTTTTTCCCCTTTAAATCACAGTGCTTGTCCTCTTTTTTTCCTTCCTGTTTTACAAATTGGCCCCTTATTTGCCTGAAAATCACAGCAGGTCACTTAGAAAATCACACGTATTTGGTTTATTTAATCCAGCAAAGAAAACTGCATGAATAATAATGCATTAAAATATAGTCTTAAGTTGCAAATATATGTATGTATGTATGTATGCATGTATGTATTTATGTAAAAAAATACACTTCAGTAAATAGCATTTTGTATAAAGGAGCTTTAGGGAGTAGTCAAAGAACCACATCAACCTTCTGAAAGCTTGTTTCTACTGTATTTCATTGTTTATTGCTTAATGTTCTGAGCAGTAAGGAATCCATCTTAAAGGAGACAGAAGACGTAAAAACGTAGCACTCAAGTTATATAAAATAACCTAAAACATGCAAAGGTAGAAACTCAGTGAGAAAACGTTTTGACAGCTAAAATCATATTTAGTGCTTCTAGAATGTCTTTGGATTCAGAAAACAAATCCCATATCTTGAATATTTATATATGTAGTCTATTTATCCTCTCATTCCATGATTCATGTTCATATAATATGCATAGAATAATTTAGTAATGGGGATCATGACAGAATTTAAAAAAACAGGAATTTAGTCTCTAGAGGATCATGGAGAGGAATGAACAGCTGTAAAGTTGTTCTTGAATTTGAAAGCCCAAAACAGCCCCACATTGGGTTTTTTTTCTGAATTTTCACAGATACATTAATGTCTGATATTTTTGGATCCTTGGCAAACAGAGAGAGAAGAGCATCCAGCTACTAGCAATAATTAAAGCTAATGTAGTAAGAACAGCAACTGTGTGGCTGCCTGGCATATTGTGTTCTTGTGAAGGAAACAAACAGAACGTAATATAATTCCAAGTTGTATGAAATGCCTTAAAAGATATTAAAAAAAGAGCAAAAGCGAACAAAAATTCAAGCTAGTTTTTTTCGATCTGGTGCCTCAGTTGGATTTTGTTTGTATATGACCCAGTTCTGGCCAACCTTTGATATTGTAATCACTGCACAAGAGACAGGCACTCTGCAAGCCCAGATTTCTCCAGCATTACAACTTTAGCTTGAGGAGAAAGAGGTGCTTTAATTTCTGCTAATTGTGCAGTCAGGGAAACGCTCAGGAAAGCCTTACACAATCCTTGACAATGAACTTCTCTATAAATACGTTCCAAGTTTATTTATAATTGATTTTATGTTTTTTTCTTATCCACATCATTTTCTGACATTAAAATGGGACATTTTGGCTTATCCCCAAATTATATTCTACTACACAGTTTAGGACTGCTCCATCGCTAATTGTGGTAAACTGTTGTTGGTTTCTGTTGAACCGATTCTCCAACATTTATTGTGATTGAAAAAATGCCCCCCTCAGCCCTCCCCCTTACCAGTGGCTCCAGGCAGATAAAATATACATGTTCACTTTTGAAACGAAAGAAAAAATAAACAACAGACAGAAGCACAGACTTAGAAAAGACAAACACAAAACATTATTCAAACTGGCAGTGGAATTTTTCTTTTATTGTTACACCCCAAGGGTGCCATCCTCAAGCAAGGCAACAAACTAAGAGACGGGCAAAACGCACCGTTCACAAACAACAAACAATATACAATATGGCTCCCATATCCCGCCCTCCCACTCCCTATCCCACTACCAGCGCCCACACAATCTGCTTTGGGACTCCAAAACTGGAAACCAAAAACTATCATCCCTGATAAGAATCTTTCATCAGGTTGCTTATTCTCTACAATGCAATTTTAAAAAAAATTCTGCAGAGATGAAAGAAGAAACCAATCAGCCCAAACAATACGAAAGAAAAAAGCAAATTTACTTCCTTCCATTGGGAGATGCATCTGATGACAGGAAAATGTTCTTCCCAACGCTCTGCCTTATCTTGCAGATTAAGTTACATATGAGGGAATGCCATGGTTATAGAGGAAATTTGGTGCCAGAGAGAAAGGTATGAAGAAACCTTGAAAGGGAAATTTGTCTACTAAGACAAGATGTATGAAACTGCAAATCCCGCTGGGAAATGCCCTATTCATTTATTCACTGCAAAAGGGATTTCAGTGTATGATGGATGCTTCAGAACTATTGATAGCCCTTTTTACTATTAGTCTGGTGATGATTTAAGAACTTAATGTTAGGAGAAGAGAACTGGGAAAAGAACAAGCAGGATATTGTTTTAACTTCTGTATCAGGGTATCCAAAAAGAGGAGACCGATACGTACTTTCACTTTTCCAAAGAAATCAAGCATACATGAGCGTGTTTCCAACTTCTTGGGGAAAAAATACCAATAAAAATGAGAACTTCGGGAGCTCCTAAATATTTACACACTGCAGTCTTATCCTTGTGTGACCTCTGTGCTCTTACATATATATACTGTTACCCACTTGGATAAACATACGATCAGCTCCACAAGATGCTCATTTCTTTTATGCTCTCACCTGAGCCTACTTCACTGGCTGAGATCTTTATAGTGCCTCAAGACTAATGGAAATGAATGAGGTGAGGAGGGATATGCAAATCAAATATACATAGGTATACATATAGATCTATTGATAACAGTATTCATATCCTGCCTGCCCCAATCACCAGACTCATGCTTTTAACCCTGGCATAGCCCTTTCAAAATGGCAGGGTGGGGTGGGGATCTTATTTTAATACCATGGTAATCAATAACAATGGCAGTTCTTAGCCTCCAGGTCTAACTTTAAGTACCACTGTGTTACACGTTCTACCCTCAAAAGTCGCTTTCTCATTCATTACAAATACATACATACATACACCCACACACAATATATGTGACAAATCCCCCAAACATGAGGTAAATAAATTCAAATCAGTATCAGGGGACTCCCCCATACAGAAAGTTCAAAGAACCCACCATGAACTGTGGGGACAAAGACAGGAAGTGTCTTTCCCTCACCTCATCGCCCCCTGATCTCTGCTGATTCTAACCCTCACCAGAAACAGATGATACGTAGAACAACCTCCCCAATGATGCAATTCACAAACAAAACTGGGACATACAGCTCAGCATTGATCTGGAAAGTCAGTTGATGCGATCTGACCCAGAGGGCTAGTCGGCACTTCAGCCAAAGCCCAGCTTGATCCAGCACACCCAGCTTCAAGAGCAAAAACAAAGCTTGACTTTGGAGACTGGCATAGCCCAAGAGATTTACTGCCCCTGTTTCACATTCAGTTCAAATACTAGCTGCAATTAATTCATTCTGTCCTTATCCACCCTGAAGTGGGCCGCAGAGATTTGGCATGCATTGACCCAGTTTGGAATGCATTCAAGAGAACGAATTTCCAATCTACTTCACTAAAGAGCAATAAGCAGACCTCCTCTGCTCAACTACCTTGGATGGGAACTATAGATGCAGCCTCTCAACAAGGGAGTGAAGTACTAGACTGGCAAACAGTATATATCATGTCTCACACTGAGCCCATGACCCAAAAGCAGCAGGGACATGACAACATGGAACCAGGCACCTAGCAGGGTAAGAAAGAAGAAGAAGAAGAAGAAGAAGAAGAAGAAGAAGAAGAAGAAGAAGAAGAAGAAGAAGAAGAAGAAGAAGAAGAAGAAGAAGAAGAAGAAGAAGAAGAAGAAGAAGAAGAAGAAGAAGAAGAAGAAGAAGAAGAAGAAGTAGAAGAAGAAGTAGAAGAAGAAGAAGAAGAAGAAGAAGAAGAAGAAGAAGAAGAAGAAGAAGAAGAAGAAGAAGAAGAAGAAGAAGAAGAAGAAGAAGAAGAAGAAGAAGAAGAAGAAGAAGAAGAAGAAGAAGAAGAAGAAGAAGAAGAAGAGAGGGCTGGTTTCAATCTTCTGTACCTCTGAAACAAAGCCATATTTTTTGACTTGCACACGATTCTGCCATTCCAAGCTGTCTGCTCCCCACAGCCATCCCTTATTGTTCATGGACAGAAGACGCTACTGCATCCCAGAGGGGGCCAAAACCCGGTTTTTGAGATACAAAGCTAAAATAACTATGGGTATACTAAGGTTAATATAACCTCAGACCTCAACAGGACACTCCTCCTCATGCTGAAGAGGAACACAAAAACCTTCCCATGTTTGTTTGCTTTGTATACGTCAGGTGCCGTGGGCCACCTATGAGAATGGGCTGGGAGTTCCTCATTTAAGCAAGCCCACTGCTGCATAGCCACAGCTGAGCCTTTTAAGAGGCCTGCAGTAGGAAGATGAGAGGGCGGAGCAGGCACAATGGAAGAGGGAGGAGCTTGACCCATGCACAAGCTGCTATACTTGTCGCCCCTCCCTTGGACAGAGTCTTCCCCTTTCCTCTTACACTTTCAGTCCTTCTCCTGCATCATACTCTCCTCTGTAATGCCCTGAGCTGCCAGCTCAGCAAGTACATTGTCTAGGTAGTTGGGATCAGGGTAGCCGTGGCCCGTGAGATTGGATCCAAATTCCGTCTTGTGGTGAATCTCATTCCAGATGACTGTATCCGATTCCCCAGTGGTGCTTGAAGTGCCTATGGCAAAGATCAGCCTTCGATCCCAGGCCACCAACAGCAGTTTCAGCACCTGCCAGAGGAAATCGCCAAATATTAGAAGAGTTGGGTGTCCAAATGAGAAGGGGCTTAGATCAGAGGTCCCCAATCTTTTGGGCACCAGGGACTGGTTCCGTGGAGAGAGTTTTTTCCGTGGACTGGAGGGTGAGTGGTTTTGTGTGCTGCCTGCATCTTGTGGATGGGGCTTTGTTTGGTTGTGCGGCCTAGTTGCTGGCATGCCGTGGCCCGGTACTGGTCCACGGACTGGGGGTTGGGGACCCCTGGCTTTAGATCACATAAGCAAAATTACTTCTACTTTTTTTTTCCACTGATGTTCTTGCAAAGATTTGGATTCTGGTGCAAATCTACCCAATGGATATGAATAAACTCCACAAGTACACCTGTACAATTGGAGTAACATTACAAGCACTTAATAGAGGCTCCAAAGCATTTACTGCTTCAAATTTTCTCCCAATATTTTACACAGAAAGGAGGGGTTTTTTCCCCTCTTCCAAAAGGGGAATACTCCTGATAACATCAAACACAATGAAAGGAGCATTCAATAGGGAAGATGTTGGATTAAGATCAAGGAGACCGTGACATTTACTGACTGGCTTTGAATTATTTACTCTCTCTTATTTTGAGGATAAAACTGGGAAGGCTACAGAGAAGAAAAAGAATCCCATATGACTCCTTGAGCAATAATAGGAAAGAAACATGTGTGAAAGTACAAGCCAACTCTCCCTAGGCCAGTGGTGGCGGACCTATGGCACGCATGCCAGAAGTGGTACTCGGAGCCCTCTCTGTAGGCACACGCACCGTCACCCCAGCCCCGCCTCCTCCCATGGCCCCCTCCTCCCCAGCAGCCCCCCAGAGGAGAGTCGTCCCCGCAATGCTGCGCAGCCAAGAACCTGGTAGCTAGGCAGCGGGAACAAGACTCCGCCCTTGCACCCCATCATATGCAGATGATGCTGCAGGGCATGGGTGGAGGGCGTGGACACCATGAAGCTGCTGGGCTGCCTGGGTGATCTATGGCAGGCCATGGAAGTGGTGGGTGGTCCAGCGGGCACGGTGGAGCGGGGACGGGGTGGTGGTTATTGGGCACTCAGTCTCTAAAAGGTTCGCCATCACTGCCCTAGGCAAATTGGATCCTCTTCTCCAATGCTAAGAAATAATTACTCTCAGTTGTGCCTGGGAGGAGGATACATGTGTGCAAAGGGTTGAGCTGCAATTTCCATCACCTTCAACTACTCCATTGGTTAGAAACAACTAGAACACTGCAACCCTCCTTTTCTTTCTAGGCCTCTGTTTCCTTCGTAGAATCCAAAGCAACATAAGCTGTCATTGTGTAAGTTGCTCGGAAGAAACTCTCCGATGTCAGTGAATGACAAACTTGTGCCTTAGACAGCATACGCTGTTTTTGGTAACTAGATCTGTTCCAGAGACACATGTTTATATTTATTATAATATTAAGGTGCATTCTACCTTTCTGCCTCTTTCACTGTCTGGGAGGTAGCAGTGTCGAGGAAAACCCCGGGCAGTGAAACTCTTCCCAGGACTCGGATGCTCTGGTCCCTAGAAAGAACAGGAGATAATTATTACTTCTAGGTAAAAGACAATGCACATCCAACTGAGACAACTATCATACAAATGAATTAAAATCCCTTTTTAGATGGGTCTAAAGAAAATTCAGATGTAAACATAACATAGGCACGTATTATCACATTTGGTGGACATGTGGTAAGGCAAAGGCCTATTGGAGAAAGATACATATGTGGTTAGAAAAAATATTGGGTGAACAAGCGAATTTTAAACTGAACTTTTTTTACTAGGTATTATGTCTGAAAAGACTAATAAGCAGAAATTATATTTAATCTTACACATTACTACAGCAGCGAGAATAATTTTTGCACAATACTGGAAGAATGAAGGGCTGCCATCAGAAGGAGAAATAATCAGGAAAATATTGGAATGTGCAGAGATGGACCGATTAACTATGAGGTTGAAAGATAAAGAAGATACAGACTACTATCAAATTTGGAACCTATTTTATTCTTGGTTAGAGGAAAGAATGAAGGATTAGGAATTGAACATGTATTAGCATAGCAAACTCCCGACAACTTGTTGATTGGAAAAATTAACATATGTTGATGAAAAAAAACCAATAAAATCTTTACAAAAAAAAAAAAAAGAAAATTCAGCTTCAGCAGAGGGCACTACCTCATTGGGACTGTAAGGGCTGAGAACTGAGTTGGCTTGGGACTACATAGACTGGAGACTTCTAATCAATGCCAGCTTGGCTGGCTCAGGAATTCTGGGAGTTGAAGTCCATGAGTCATAAAAGAGCCAAGGTTACCTACCCCTGGCTAGCCTGAGAAACCAAAATCATCTTGGAAGAAGCTGGTGGCTAAAAGTTTCTATATTGCTTCCCAGAAAACTGAAAGATATGACCATGAGGTCACCAGAAGTAGTTTGAAGGAGGCTTCACTTTTTACAGAAGGTTTACAGGAGCAGGATAAAAAAAATCCCAGCTAAAATCTACTGCATTGCCCACTACGGTCTTAGTTGCAAATACACTCCTCTTAAGACGCCTACCTAGGAATCTCACCTGTATTCCTGGTGGAATGTTGTAGATTATTCGGATAGTTTTACAGTCAAGGTGTCCCGGCAGTGAATGCGGGATGAGGTGATATTCCATTTTTCCAGGAGGCTGGGTGCCAGTCTTCACCCCATAGATGGTTTTGCAGGTTGGACACTGCAAGCTCCCATCCTAAAAGAAAAGAATATAAATAATAACACCAGCACAGAATTTAAAAAAAATCATCAAGATGATATTAATTATGCTGCTAACATTGTAAAACAACTTAGGAGTAATAGATAAGATCTCACTGTCCAGAATGCTTCATAACTTCATACATTCTCAAATTAAAACAAAAACAAAAAAACAGAAGTAGATTAAGGAAGATTGAAGACAAGGTCTCTCCTCTCTTAATTTGCATATTTAGCCCCTCTAGGCATTTTATTCAAACCACATATGTTAAGTTCTTCCAACCATAGTTTGCAGTCTTAAGCATAGAGTCAAGTTATCTTTAAAATGTAACACAAGAATATTTATTACTTTTAATAAGCAGTATGAGAACTGAATTTTTAAAAGGAGAGAAAAGATGTTGCTTCAATAGTTAAGTCCACAATTTTATCACAGGTTCAGCAAAGTTTTGAACTCAGCTGACAAGGAAAGCCTCTTTCTTAGCCCAGGGAACAGCAGTGAACCTGCTAAACCATTGAAATACTATTAAATGGCGTGAGTTTAAATGGACTCCAGAAGATGGTAGAGGACAGGAAGGCCTGGAGGAACATTGTCCATGGGGTCGCGATGGGTCAGACACGACTTCGCAACTAACAACAACAGAGATGGGTGTCTTTCTGTCCATGGACCCCAAATGGCAGCTGGTGAATTCTGCACTTTCAATTTAATTCCGAGTCAGGAAAAAAACAGACTCTTCCATTAAATTATCAGTATTTGCCTTTGATTTGAGTAAATTATTGACTAGGCTCACTACAATAGATCTTAGCAGCAAACAAGCAAAAGCTGTAACTTGATTCTTTTTCTAATTTGTTCCTCTTAAAATAAGATAAACCTTTATTGTCACTTTTTTTTGCGAACACATGGCACACATTAAAAAATGAAATCCGATGCCTACTCTCACACACACATATATACATACATATATTAACCAAAAATAAAATACATTTTTAATTTTAATTTTTAATCAAGAATAAAATAAGCCCAAGTCTGTGGTTTGCAGGATACATTATACTACAGCCAAAACAAAATAAGTTTAATGTGACATGTGATCCAACCCCCATGTATACGTGCTCGAAAACTGTGGTCTGATTGAAAGCAGATCTGTAAAGATATGTGGGGGGGTGTTGTTTTGTTTTCTTAGTTAAGAGTTGATTCTTGTCTGTTTAAAATCATATTCCTGCACAAGCATTAGAAATGTAATTATATAAAATGATCAAGAAAGATTTGGCAATGTAGTTTAGCAGGTATGGCCCCCGAGGTAGCAAGCAAAAGCCAGATAACGGCATAAAAAGGTCAGGCCTTGTAAATGGAGCAATATTTTAATGCTTTATTGTAGAGAAGGAATGTAGTAGATAAAGGGTGAAAGCAAAACTAAGGCACCAGCCTCAAGATCTGGATTTATGTGATTATTTTATTGTTAATATAGAATTTGGGGGGGGAGTTGTCCTCTCTAGGCAAATGCAATTAATTACTCATGACTGATAATGTATATTTTTCTCTACAATCCTTTGCAAATCTGTATTTGGTGTCTTGGTCTAGTTGGCTGGGAGTACAGTGATCACTGTTTCAGAATATTTTAATAAAAAACACCAATTTGCTTTGGATCTGTATTGCTTTGGTTCATTTTTCCATAGATAACTTTTTTCCATGACAATGGAAACAGAGGCTTTTTCATCCAATGGCTGTAAGTCAGGCAGTCTACAACTTCTAAGAGACATTCTGCCTAGACACTGCCATATAACCAGAGACTGAGAATTTTGTTTTCTCAAACAATGCATTAATAATGAGATTTTTAGACTGACATGCCATCACAGAATCATAACTCAGTTAAGTGGGGAAATCAAAATACTATTTAACAGATGGTGATCATTAGAATTTCTAAGCACAAGGAAATACAGCCACCTGTGTGATCTTAGCCAATTCAGGGAACCAATATGTATTATACCTCTGTTGTTTTCTCAGTTAAAATACAATAAAAATCAACAATACAATTAAACATGAGCAGCACAAAGACTTTTCCTACAGCATGTGCAACATTTCCTAGAGGAAGTCAAATAAATTATGATATGTATTTCCCCCTATAACAAATTGGATGTGTTGAAGCTCCAATTTGTCCCTTGTGACTTCCTCCACTTTAAATGCAGAACAAAACACCATGAATGGCATGAAATCATTGTATCCCCCCCAAGAGACCGTTATTTTTAAATATGAAGACTGCTAGCTATTCAGTCTTGAATAGGGTTCATGATTTACCCAGTGTTTCCCCAGAGAATCCCAGGAACACACCTTATTTCCATTGTTATACATGGCCACAAGGCAATGGAGGTGATACATGTGACCGCATTTGGACAGTTTGCCCACCAATTCTGGCTTGACGACTGGTTGAGGTCCTTTGTAGCCTGAGGGAGCAGAGAGGCGTTCCATGCAAATAGTACAGTCCTGAAGAGAAGCGGGAAATTGTTAGGTGAGAAAGCATCAGAATCTTGGTCTACAGGAAGATTAGGTTACATAGGTGTGAGTTGTTGCGGCCTTACTTATCTCCTTGGAAATAGATACATCTAAAGCAGGGGTCTTCAAGCTTGGCCCTTTTATGATTTGTGGACTTCAACTTCCAGAATTCCTCAGCGAGGCACACTGGCTGAGGAATTCTGAGAGTTGACGTCCACAAGTCATAAAAGGGCCAAATTTGAAGACCCATTATCTAAAGGAAGTGTATCTGCCACAGCCATCCCCAACATTAAAATGAGAGGAAGCTACCCATAGAAATGAGGATATTGAATTGACCATCTAATTCAGTATTATCTGCTTTGATTTGATTTGAAGTGGTTCTACACTTCTCAGTCTCAGCAAAATTCCTCAAAACATTTTGGCTTTCCCTGCATCTTCACTGTAAACCAAGGACAAAAACGGGTTTCTATGTATTTTATTAACCAAGCTTAATGGCTTCATGTTATGTGTGAATACAGTTAATGGTGGGTTCAAATCACATACTATACAAAGACCAAATTCACTGTGCTTAAGCTTAGTGCAATATAAATTTAGCCACTTTCGTCTTCTGAGGAAACACCTACCAAAGAAATAAACTATACAGCAATAGATAGTTGATCAGCATATTGTACCACTAATAGTTACAGTTTAATTTTTGCCCTGAAATCTCCATACTAAGCATATTGCTCTGCATCAACAAATATTTCACTACACTTGGCTTCACTACACTTGCAGAAATAGATGCCCTATATAGAGAAAACCAGACTTACCTCATCTGGAGGATGGCGTACCTTCTGCAGGTATTTTTTCAAAACTTCCTCTGTAGTTTTACCTAGACATCAAAACAAGAGAAGCAAACTGAATTATCTCTTTCCTGATAGCCATCAAGAGAATGGAAGACAGGGCAGGAAATGGAAAGCAGGGAGGAAAGGAGCAAAGCTTCCTAGTGCTTTGTTATAAGTTTTGACAGAACTACAAGAGAGAGAGAGAGAGAGAGAGAGAGAGAGACAGAGAGAGAGAGAGGGAGGGGGTGAGTGAGTGAGTGAGTGAGTGAGTGGGTGAAAGAAGAGGGAGAAAGCAAATGCTATTCTGCAGCTTTGTGGAGCCTAGTTTTCTCCCCAGGCCTTTGGTTTTAATATAGGTAGGCCTTGGCTTATAATCACAACTGATCCAAAATTTCTGCTGCTGAACGAGATAGTTAAACAAGTTTTGACCCATTTTATGACCTTCCTTGCCGCCGTTATTAACTGAATCACTGCAGTTGATGGTCATTAAGCGGTTCTGGCTTCCCCATTAACTTTGCTTGTCGGAAGGTGGCAAAAGGTGATCACATGATTCTAGGACACTGCAGCAATCATAGATATGAGCCAGTTGCCAAGCCTCCAAATTTTGATCACGTGACCACGTGGATGCTGCAATAGTCATAAGTGTGAAAAATGATCAAAAGTCACTTTTTTCAGTGCCGTTAACTTCAAACGGTCACTAAATGAATGGCTATAAGTCGAGGATTATCTGTACTGGATCAATTCAGATGTTACTAAGTCAGTTTGTGAAACATAACCATAGTCTGCCCAGACATTCAAACCATCAACTAGTATTTCTGAGCGGCAAACCAGAATCAGAAGCTATGGCTTGAAGTATATTGCATACCACCTTATTCTCTAAACTATGATACTAGGCAATCTTCTTCTTCCAGGTCAAAAGCACTTTGATGCACTACACTCAGTTGAAGGCTCCTTTCGTGTCCCATGAAGTTGCTCACTGAAGTGGTACCCATTTATCTACTCGCGGTCACCCACTTTCAAACTGCTGGATTGACAGGAGCTGGAACATGTGACTGGAGCTCATCCTGCCATGTGGCAGCAATGAGTCTTGAACGCAAGCCTGCTAATTGTCAGCCCAGCATCCTAACCTTGTGCGCCATCACACTCTTGTACTATGAATGTTCTCATCAATGAATGTCAACTGAAGATGCATCCCTCTGTAAGCCTGCATGATACATAGAGGCAGGCTAAGTAGAAAGAAAATAAAAACAGTCATAAAACTTTTGCTGCGGGCTTCTTAATTAAGCTTCCCAATAATCTAACCTACCTACAGCTCTGCTTTTGCTATGAACTACCATGGTGGCAGGGTTCAGAAAGAACGTGCTTGTTTTAATCTTAAATAGGCTAACACCCACGTGTACACCTCTAAAAAATTAAGAAACAACAACAATAAGAATGGATTTTAAATCATCATACCAACTTGCTCAGATTCCACAGTGAGTCAAAATTTACACCCTTCCCACGTATGGGAGAGCCAGTTTGTCTCTCCTTGTGATGTTGTAATATTCTTGAATGTGCCTCCAGATGAAAGGTGGCTGCAAACCAAAGTCAGGCTAAGCAGTTCCAAGTCTGACTCCTTTACATGATGGCCCTTGTCCTTCTAGCCTCCCTCCTGCTTTCAGGAGTATAATTTTATGAAGGAGTATATAACACCCATAACCTTTGTGTGCCGCTGCACGGATGGATGAGTGAGTGATTGAATTCTGCACCGAGGAGATAGAAAAGCTTATAGAAGAATCTCTACTCAGTGCCCTGAGGAAAATATGCCTTTGTCTTCAGTACATAAACAAACAAAGACTACAACAGATTAATCTGACAAAAAAAATTAACCCTTATCCTGTCTTAAGAACAGGAAATATCTTGGGGCAGAGCACTGACAATGGAATCCCGTAGACATGTGATGCTTTCATGGTTATGTTTTTGCTCACTTTTTTAATTTTTTCCTGGATATGAGGGGCATCTCATAGGTGGAACTACATCATCTAATTAGTCAGGACCGCAATTTCTCACTTTTTACATTCTTCTCCAGCATCTGGGAAGAATTCTAACCTGACCAAGATTATTGCAGGAATGAACAACTTAAACTCTCAAGAGTTGCCTCAACTCTCTCTCTCTGTAGCCTGCAAAGCACTCTCCAACCACAGCAGCTGAAAACTGGTCTGCTATTTGAGGCAAAAAATAATGCTCGTGGAGTGAAGCAGAAGTCAAAAATAGATTTAGCAGTTAAAAACCACCCAAAATCTGGGAAAAGAACCAGAAAACTGTGGCTCTAACTACATGTGCCACATCCCTCCGCTTGTTTTATATCAGTCTACCCTTCCCCCATCCCAAGATCTTCTTCTCCAACAAAGTATTATATGGACACCAGCTACTGAAAGGTTGCTCACCTATAGCTTTACAATATTAAAAGACAGTACTATTGTACAATATTACCCCTCTAAAAGGTGAGACACTATATCATGGGCTTCATTATTCTGTTATCAAATGATATGAATCAAAGGTGGAACTTGAGTTGCATAATACCTACACATTACCCACTTCTGTTCACCCTTATCCCTGATGCATGCAATTCTCTAGATACTTGATGAGACAACCATACCCTGTATGTGCTCCCTTGAGAAAGATGGAAGGAAAGCAAAGTGACAAGAATCAATTACAGCAGTGATGGAAAATCTGAAGGGCCAAGCTGGGGACAAATCATCCCGAAGAAGGTCTAGCTACGTGACTGCTCAGGGTGGATAAGAAAGGCATTCACACAACTGACAGCAGACTACAGTGCAAAATTTAAGCTTCAGCTCTTTATCATGAAAGGAGCATGGTAAGTGTATCTGCCCTTGTGGCATTTTAACAAGGCCGGTGGTGAACTCGTGCGCTCACTCCAATGACTGTGATTCCATATTCTTTACAGACACACAAGGGACAACAGGCTTCTAAACAACTCTTTTATTCCATTGTCACCTGGAAGTAAGGCTTACTATTTGTCAAGCAGATGGGATGCACCTTGGAGAAAGGACAATTTAAAAAGGAAAAGCCACATACCAGAGAGAGTGTGAAATACATCATGCTCACCACAGCTGGCTGGGAAAGGATGAGGCAGTGGCGGATGTGTTCTGCTGGGAACATGTGTTAGGTAATGCAGAAGAGTGCTCTGGAAGGACACTGGTTGGATATCTGCCACTGTCCAACCATCAACAGATACAGCCACGCATGTGGATGGGGTAGCAAAATGGAAGCAGGGAAGGGGCAGCGCACGGAGAAGAAAACTCTTTAGAACAATGTCTGAGTGATAGTTACAAGAAACCAGGAGAGAAGAGAAGAAAGAAAGGTCCGTAGACCGAGACCTGCAAAGACAGGAATGTACTGTCACCCTCCAGAAGTAGCCAGCCAAAAATAATAGAGAATCAGAACACCTGATATCCCTCTGCCAAAAGTCGTAAGCAGCCAGGGACACACTAAGGCAGAAAAGGAAGATGCAGGCGTTTACCCAGCAAGCTTAACCTGTATTTTTTTTTTCCCAAGGTACAGCTGGCGCCTCAAACGATCTTTCAGTTTCTAACATCAGTCAGCACAAAATCTGGTTTGGTATGATGTCTAAGTTACAATGTAATTCTCCTTATGGGTTTGCATATTTTGGACACCCGCCCCTTCCAGTTATGCAATTCTAATGAGATGAGGCAATAGGAAGAAGCAGAGAAGCTCTCGTTCTTACCTTTCTTGGTCTGCTTTTTGGTAGTCTTACGGCAGGTATTGGCGATGCCAGGGATGGATTTAATGTCACTCTTGCTGACAGGAGGAGGGTGCAGAACCAGCTTTGGAGGCCGAGTCAGACAGACAGGGAGCCCTGCAGCACTCATAAGTATCCCTGTGATTCCTGACAGGAGAGGAAGAGAGCATAAGCATTTATAGACAGCCTCTTTCTTGCTTTATTTCTGCTTTACACTTAAGGGCTAGGATCTTGTTTCATCTGTGCGGTTATTGCCCATTTATACAGGGTTATAGCAGACTGGCTCTTTACCGGTTCCAATTTTTACAAAGCTTTAAAGCAGTGGTTCTCAACCTGTGGGTCGGGACCCCATTTGGGGTCGAACGACCATTTCACAGAGGTCGCCAAACAACACAGTCCGCCATTTTTTCCCCCTTTCCTTAGCTGTGCTATTCCCTTTTATTCTATTGGCTTTTGAAAGCCAATAGAATAGACTCTCTTGAATAGAGTCTAATTCTATTGGCTTTCAAAAGCCAATAGGAATTGTCCAGGCTGTCTCTGCCCTGCTGAGCCCGCCAAAAGTCCCATTCTGCAAACGGTACTGCACCAGTTGAGTAGTCCTCGATTTACGACCGGTTGAGTAGTCCTCAACTTATGACCGGTTGGGGGTCGTGGCATTAAAAAGGTTGAGAACCATTGCTTTAAAGGATATCAGAAAACTAGACAAGCCATTTACAATGTCATATCCTCTTCATATGCTTGACTAATATGCCATGCAGGGTTTGGGACTCCGACTTATTTGAAAGGCATTAATTTTGAGGTTTTTAAAATTCAAACTTCTAAAACGTGCACAATCATTATCACGCATAGTGAAAATGAGTATTTTTTTTTCTCTTTTAAAGTTCCACTCTCTCCCTATGGTGCGTGTACAGTACACTAGTTTTCCCCAAACTTCTACCTTTTAGATGTGTTGCACTGTATGACTCTATCTATCCCCAAGCAACATGGGCATTGAACATCCCATCTTGTAGAACATCACCATCACCTTCCTTTATCTGTTCCTCAACACAACTTGTATCTTCATTCATCTACTGCTCAATGTTCCTCTTCCACTTTTTGAATGAATACAAAGAATTGGCTCCCCCCAATTCTTGGAAAAACCCTGCTGAAGTCAGGGTTTCAAAATACCTTCCTGCTTAAGGGTCCCTTGCTTAGGTCAATCAAGAGCTATTAACGGTATTTCTGGTCCCACTAGATTTTTGGTTCTCTTACCTGCTAGGGCAGGGTTGACTGGGCTTGAGCCATTGAGGTTTTTTACAGGAACTGTAGGGACTCTATGACAGAATAAAACACAGGTTATTAGAGATGGCTGAAAAATGAACCCGCATCTCTGTAAAAGCAGGAGTCTCTGAGAACTAAGCATACATGGGAAGAAAATTGTGAACAAGTGTCAAAGCAAATCTTGGATTCTCTAAAAGATGGAGCTGGTAATGGAGTATGAGAACAGAGAAGAATCCATTGTATCCTATATATGCTATATGGAGGAGGGAGAGAAGTTTCTGCATATTCTTTTATCCCTGGACTTTTTTCTTTAACATCCTAAAAGAGGTACCAAGTCTAGACCAATGTAGCATGGCAGATTACAACTCTGCCTTTGGTTGCTAGCAGCCTGAGGCACAAACACTCTTCCTAGTTGAGCTAGGAGACTCAGTGTGGGAAAGATAAGCAAGGAAATGGATCTTGAAAGAAGGGTAGGTAACAGAGGCATAAGGACTGGTTTGATCAATAGGCAAATCAGTGATTGTGATAGGCATGTTATTCTTTAAAGGCACGTGTGCGCAGGGATTGAGAAGATGGTTAGATGTATAAGGATAGGCTTATTCCAGTCATGATCATCTACCTGCCTAAATGAATTACAGGATGACTTGTAGGGACTGGCAGGCTATGGGAACAATAGGAAACAATCTTTTTAAGAAAATATTTTCAGGATACTTCTTCTTTCTATTCTTAATCTCAGTGCTGTTTTTTTCTAAGGCTATACCTTCTGCCTGAAGTTAGGATGGTATTATCTTACTAAAACATCCAGGTGCCTACCAGAAATTTATACCAATTTGCCCATGAAGAGGTTTTTCATACATTTCATAGACTCAGTCACCACTCTGATGCAATTCACCAACGCCCAGATTTTGCCCATGTATTGACAATCAGGCTGGCATATGGACTAGAACAGTGGTGGCGAACCTATGGCACGGGTGCCAGAGGCGGCACTCAGAGCCCTCTCTGTGGGCACGTGCGCCGTCACCCCAGTCCTAGGCCTTCAGCTGGCTTTTATAAAACCTTTTCACTTTAGGCCTCTGCCGCCGTGTGCAAAAAAAAAAAAAAAGGTTCAATCAATCAATCAACTTCAATTTCTCTTGGGGCAAAAAAAAAAGATCTTGCAAAGTTGGAATTGATTGATTGAACTTTTTAGTCCCACCCAGTCTGCCGTTACCACCGCAGCCACACCCACCCAATGGGCCACGCCCACCCGGCACCCGACGATGCATAAGTGGGTTTTGGGTTGCAGTTTGGGCACTCGGTCTCTAAAAGGTTCGCCATCACTGGACTAGAATCTGTGCATAGATGAATTGACTATCATCAGGCATGGACCTGGCCACCAAATCTGATGGTTTTAAAGGGGAACTAGAAAAAATGCATGAAAGATTGCTTTCTCAACTGCTATTCACTGTGATGGCTGTCTACTACAATCTGAACCACAGACAACATACTTTAAATCTCAGCTTCCAGGGAGCAATAGTGAAGGAAAGTTGTTGCTCTCCTATTCATTCTTGTGAGTTCACTGAATTGTTGGTCATTGTTGGACCCAAAATGTTTGAGCTGACAGCAATAGCAATAAGCATTTAGACTTATATACCACTTCACAGTGCTTTACAGCCTTCTCTAAGCAGTTTCTAGAGTCAGTATATTGCCCCCAACTATCCGGCCCCTCATTTTACTGACCACGGAAGGCTGAATCAACCTTGAGCCAGTGAGAATCGAACTGCCAAACTGCTGGCAGTCAGCAGTCAGTAGAAGCAGCCTGCAGTACTGCATTCTAACCACTGCACCATCTCAGATCCATTTTTTACCTAATCTTGAATATACTTTGAGAATGCAAGAAGTGGCAGATAACCATGTCAACATGTACAAATGGATACAGAAGGAATATGCATTGAATAGCTGTCAAAAAAATAGTTTGGAGTTTCTTTCGGAGAAAGACATGAACAAGATTCCTTGTCCACTCAAGGTAGGGAAAAAAAACCGTGTAGCATGAAATGGGATCACATTATACAAATTAATATCATAGATCCACAAAACCTTTAGAAAAATTCTCTTCGCCTTTGTGTCATTCAAATAAATTGACTGCAAACTTCTACAATTTGGTCAATCAGCTTGGGAAAAACCATTCTTAGAATGGGTCCACATACCATCTTTGGGGATCCTGTTTGCTCGCCGCACCACATAAACTTTAAGGCTTTAGTCTTATGGGACATCCTCAATTTAACTAGAAGCCATGTGCACCAATGATCTGACTAAGTCTGCCAGCTTTACAAGACCAGCAGAAACCAACCCAACCCATAGAAGCCTGCAGATACTGTGTTGTTCCGAGGCTTCTCTGACATCAGTTTTGGAACACCAGAAAGTATCATATTCCAGGCACAAATTCCTGCTTTCAAAAGTGAACAATCTTCAAATTATTCCTGAGACAGAACTGCAGCAATTATCAAGGCCTCTGGAATAGGCATAGATGGGGGATATATATATGAGACTGAAAGGGCTGAGATATAGACAAAGTGGGCCACCTTTTAAACTGGACAATAGTTGCTGTAGTTACAGATGAAGGAGCTAGCTGGAGAGAGAGAATCCTCTAATCTGAAGAGAGAGGGCATGGCCCGCCCTCCCCATTCGCCTGCCTTCTCCTCATTCAGCTCTTTAGAAATCTTGGTTGTGTCTCCCCGTTATTCACAGAGCCTTTTGTTCTGGGGAAGCATCGCCTTGGCCCCTTCCTCCCTTGCTCTCTTCCATGGGAAAGTCTTTGAGAAAGGTCACGGGCAGAGGGGGGAGCAACCAGCAACAGACGGCCGATGGCAAAATCATACAAAAGAGAAGGAACACGCTAATTAGATGTCCAAGAAAGAGTGTTTTGGTCAAGGGAGGCCTAGCAGGAGGGGGATGCTGAGGATAGGGTACCTTCCAGATTGGGCAACAGCTTGAAAAAAAAAATTGTATGGGCCTTTTGATAGGAACCCACCCACCCCAGAGCTGAAGGGTAAAGAAGAAGAACGGTTCACTTCCTCATTAACATTCAAAAGGGGCTTTAAGGCTTCCCCGTTTTTATGGTTCAAAGGGTCTGTGGGATTTGATGAACAGAGGAAGGGGGACTGATGGGGTAGCGTCAGTCAATGTCAGTCCCAGCTTTTCCTTAGGAATTTTCTATCCTGCTGGTATTTGGGCCAGAGATATACTTACAAACAGCTTACTTCTGTTTAACCATCAAGAGTTTGCCGCTTCTTCAGAGCTTCCCAATATATCCTACTTTTCTGATTAAGTTCTGTCTCACAACATACTTGAGTTTCCTCAGTAAGAAAATATCAAAAGCCACTTTTCTTTCTCTTCCCAGAGCACTTGACATATCATTCTTCAAAATTCTGCAATGTAGTCTTCAAACAAAATATCTCCATGGGCGGCTCCTCGTAAGCCTTGACAAAACTGAACCACACTTTATAATCCATGCAGTAGGTTTCCTATGTTCAGATCTTTAAATTGACTCAGAACCTGCCTGCATTACCTCCCTCAACACTGTCTCCAAATTTATTGTATTACCTATTACCTGCATACTTCCATAGTCACCCTAATCAACTAAATCAAGACAGCATCAAATTGGGAAAGGCCCATCTGCAATATCCCAGGAACAGAGGTGACCTTCCCATGGTCTAAATATGGATAATGGGAAAACAATACTGGGCACATACCTCCATGTGAGGAGGAGGAGGGACACCAAGATGTAGTATTAGGAGTGGTAAACAAATACTTAAAGCCAGTTTGGCGCAGTGGTTAAGACACAGCTAGAAACAGGAGACTGTGGGTTCTAATCCTGCCTTAAGCATGAAGCTAACTCAATGATATTGGGCCAGTCCTTCTCTCTTGGCCCTAAGAAGCAGACAATGGAAAACCACTTGCAAAACTCTTGCCAAGAAAACTGCAGGGACTATTCCAGACAGTTGCCCCGATTCAACACTCACTTGAAGGCACAAGTAACAACAAAAACGATCACTTACCCTGAGGCAATGAGCACACGGGACTGTGCGATGGCCAAGCGCTGCAGATTGGTTCTGTTCAATGTATTAAGGCTGGCGCGTGTCACTTTGCCGTTGGCATTAGGAGGACTGGCAGGGGAATTGCTTGTGGTGAGGGCAGGGGTGCTAACTGCTTGCCTTCGGTTCACTTGAGATGCGAGGGTCTTCAAAGAGCTACGCATGGTGGCTGTTCCATCTTGTGGCCTGTGAACTGATGCTGGCGTGGGGGTTTTGGCACTGCCAGAAAGAGAGACAGCTTTACGTGGTGGTGGAGGTTGAGGCTGCTGGCTAACTGTAGCTCCAGTTCCTCCATGGCTCCCAGCTGCCACTGTTGTCTTTATGCTCATGACAAGAAGGCATTGTGGACAAGTGCAAGCAGGGGCAGGAGGCACATTGGCTGCACCAGGGCTTGCTGGCCACGACTGAGATTTGGGCAAGGTGCCTGTGACCAGTGGGTAGACCATGTCAAGGCGGCGGCGGACATGGCGCTTGCGTTGGGTCTGGCGATTGATCTGCCCCATTGTGCTGAAGTCAATGATGTAGCAGAAGCCAATGGAAGTGAGATCAATCCAGGGGTGCTGCTTCTCATAGGCATGTTGGATGGTAATGCCCACCTCCATGTCGTAGGGGGTCCAGGTGCCATTGTCGTTCTCCCACTCCCACACCACACCCTTGCCTGGGGCTGAGGAGGGGTCATAATAGCTGCGTCGCACTGGGCGAATGGTGCCTGCAAAGGGAGACATAGGAAAGTAATGTCCAAACAAAAAAGACATCAAAGAAGATAACATTAAACCAAGCACACTAAAAAATCACTCATAGGAAAGAAGCATGCCAGAGTTTTAGCCAGCTAAGAGAAAAAAATGTAGCACAGTAACAAACATCATGTGCTTTCGCCGACATTTATCCCCTAAAGAGGCAACTAAACCAGATCCAATGTTTAAGCTCAATCATCTGCTTCTCACATGACAGCCTGAATGCTATTATTTCCAAGTTTACAAGTTCATCATAGATGTGGAGCTATGTCAAAGATCCATGCATAAACAGAGAAGGGAACAACAGAATTTCCTGGCAAACGAGTGTTGAGGACAAATATCAACAAAACTGAACTAGTTTACTGACTCAATTTCCTTTCCATACACCCTTTGGTCTCCCTGAGTGATAATAGCTCCCTCTCCTCTCTGCACCACATTTTTAGGAGGAACCAAACAGATGGTTTTCACCTTCCTGTCACTTATTATTTGCTATTTTGCTGGCCCTTGCCCCTGTGACCCCCTGCCCCTCAATCTTCATGTCCTCTCTATCTGCTCTCAATGATTGTTCATGCTAAAGAGCATTCTGGATCCTTTGAAAGTTAAAAGAGGGTGATCCACTTTCAGTTCTCGGTGGTTCAGTCTCTTCAAATGAATAAACTGACCTCCCCCCCCCTTAGGAACTGTTGAAATAACAACAAAGCACTGGAGGAGAAGGAAAAAATAAACACTGGCAGAAAAATAAGGACATTCATCTCCCGTTCCACCTATGAACCTTTTGCTAAATACAGTGTATTCCTCCTGGATAAAAATCACCTGGAGTGACAAGTAAATAACCATTATTGGATAGAAATCATTATACTATTAATTCTAACTACTCAGAATCCCAGTATCAACTCTGGGCGGTCGTGTTTATATAACCAAAGGCCCCATCAGATGATCAGAGCAGGGATAATATAGAGATCACACCCAGTGGCAAATATTTATACAAGCCACAGGGGATAACCTCTGCGCTGAAGTTTCAGGGCTGGAATTAACCCTTGATCTCCCAAAACTCTTTTGCCAGTAGCAAAGACTGGCAGAAAATTGGTTGCTTGCAGAAAATGTGAGCCCTTGGTGTCTTCCAGACAATTGCAATATTTCTTTTAGCTTTATTTCAAAAATATCTAGCTTGCCATTCCTCTCCCCTGAAAGTTGGTTCAGAAGAGTAGAGAACTGCAATAGATTAATTACCATAAATACTCGCAATGAAATCCCTGGCTATTATAATAACAGATATATCTTAGGAGGTTGCAATTTCATTTTATATTTCAATAATTATACCCTGTAGTCCCCAGATAAGACAGAGGCAGCCTTCAGAAAATACTGACCTATTTCATCCATAAAATTAGCTAATGAGAATTCTAGTATTTTATCCATGGCTAGGCAGGCATTTACAGGAGTGAATTAGAAAGAAGGGGGGGGGAATGCTTAACCCTAAATCTTAATTATTATGATGAAATATGTTACTTGTATACATGAATGTATGTTTTATGTATACACATACACACATACACACTAGAAACAGGTAATCCTCATTTAGCAACTGCCTCACTTAGAAACCATTTGCAGTTACGAAGGAGATGAAAAAGTAATTTTACGATCAATCCTTGCATTTACAACCTATGTAAAGCAAAGAAAAGCTGGCGATCATAAGCATGCCTGAAGTTTCATTTAGCGAATGTTTTGCTTAATAACCGAATTGCCAATCCCAACTGTGGTCACTAAACAAGAATTACTCTCTCTCTCTCTGCTTCAGATCTACCTACCTACCTACCCACCTACCTATCTACCTACCTATCCTCTCTTTCAGATCAATCTATCTTGCACAGCTACATATGCAGGATCTTGTGACATTGAACCACAGATACACAGTAAAAATTTGCCACCCAAAAGGACACAGAGTCACAGCTCTGAAAGTGGTAGATTTTTTTTAATTACAGAGGAACCCAAACAAATTCATCAATGAAACTGGAATTGTACACAAATAAGAGAATGTTACTAAATTAGAATCTTTAAGCATTAGGTGTGCATTAAGGACAATACTGCAGCCAAGTTCAGTGAAGAAAATTAATTATAATGTTGGTATTTATAAGAGTCTGCCTAAAAATGCTGTGGCAGAAAAAAAGACTGGGCATGGTCTAAACACAAAACTGGAAACCACTCTTCACGTAGTATTGAAGAGAACCATAGATGCAAAACTACAGAAGAATTTGCAGATTGGGTTCAGAGTGAAGACTTGAACCATGGACCAATTAATGCACAAATAAATCTGCCATCGTCTACTGACCTGAGTGTGATGGAAGCTGGCAAAGTTTGGGTTGAAGAAAAGAAGGGGAGGAAGAGAAAGCCATGTTGATTAATGTTCCTCCGGCTTGGCAGGAATTGTTACCCCTCTAATCCCAGAATTAGCAAGGATTTTTTAACCCAGTCACTGGGGAATTTAGCAAATCAAAAGAAAGCGAAGTTGTCATTTTGGGGATTATCTAGCTAGCTAGATTTGAGAAATCATCAATGAAGTGTCAGAGACAAAAAAAAAAGAAAACAAGGGGTCTGCTTTTTTCCTTTTCCTTCCTGGGCTGAAAAGAGGAAGAAAAAAATTTCTTAGCATAAAGCTGGTAATCATTTTTTGGGGGGGGGGGAGGAAACTTTAGCTGTACCACTGAGCAAGAGACTATTCAAGCCACATACACCACAACGATTCAGGCTATCTCAGGAGAACTCAACACAATGAGTTTTTAACGCACTACGACTGTTAGAGGATAAGGCGCTTGTAAATCTATCTCATGTGTAATTTGTCCCTGCATAACTGCCCTGTCTCCTCCCCCCCCCCACTTCATCTTATTTAAATTCTAATCGGTTTAGCTATTCTGTGCATCCAGTGAAGTAATCTGCAGCTCCCAAAGCATGTTTTTTTTTTTAAATAAAAATGTGTTAGTTGGAAAAGGTGCTACTAGGTTCCTCCTAATTTGGGGGCATTATGGACTTTCCTCCTATATCCTTTAATGCAGGGCTTTTCAACCTTTTCACCCATTATACAACTTTTAGGATATGCAATATCCGAGTACCACCAGTCGCCTAGCAAGGTGTCAAAAACTTGATGATCAAAAAAAAAAAAAAGGAAAGGAAAAAAGTGATGAAGTACAGGTAGTCCTCAACTTACAACAGTTCACTTAGTGACTGTTCGAAGTTACAATGGCACTGAAAAAAGTGCCCCCCAAGCCACAGCCGAGCAAGACACCTGCCTGCCCGCCCGGCTGCGCTCTTCCTCCTGTCCGAGGTTTCCATTGTTGTGAGCATTTCTGGTGAGGATTGGCAGCGGGGGTGGGGCAGGGGGGTTGTTTGGTTTTTATTCCCCCTGTCTGCTGGGTGGTTGCAGCAGGTTTTGGTCACTTCACATGACCCTGGGACACTGTGACCGTCATAAATATCAATCAGTTGCCAAGCCTCTGAATGTAAATCACAAGACCCTGGAGAGGCTGCAACATTCCAGCTGATCGGCGCTTCTTCAGGGCTCAGCAGAAGTGCCAGGATCAGTGCCGCTTTCCAGTTGATCGGTGCTTCTTCTCGGCTCACTTTTCTAGGATGGTCCAGTACCACCTGCCAGGTGCCAATGTACCACAGGTGGTACCCGTACCACTGGTTGAAAAGCCCTGCTTTAATGGCTATTCTGCACAAATTGACATGATTTTATTTGGCAACATCAATAGAGCATAACAAACTTGAATACTGGGATTACAGACTATTCCGATCAGTCAAGGTTTAGTCTATTTCTTTTAAATTCAACATCAAGAAAATAAGTACAGCATACAAGTTGTGGTTGCTTATAAATACACTATGAAGTACTATATAATTTATCCTTCTCTTAAACAGGATGACTGAAGTCAATATAGAGCTTCCTTGATAATTACTTGGACAATTTTGCATGCAATAATAGTAATAAGATGCATTTAAAGGACAAAGGTAGTTGCAGAGGTTCACTTACACTGTTTGACTTGTGTCTTGCTGAATTTTAACAATGGGGAGGCTTCTCTCCTTTCTTTGCTAAGCTGAAATGGAGCTCCTTTTTTCTACTGCATGCTATGTTTACCCAGTATGTAGAAACTTCCACACACCATTCCCTTCTCTGTCAATTCTCTGCTGCATTTAACCCCCTGGTATTACAATATCTGAAGGCACAAGTTCCTATTGAAATTAAGCATGTCTCCTACTTTGAATTCTAACAGGGAAGAGAGGCAGAATATAAAATAATATATACATATACATTTAAAAAAACCTCCCCAAGCTGAATTCCTCCCAATAGTTCAGCTTGGGGGGTGATTTATGAGGGAGAATCAACAAATGATGAATTGGCTAATCAGTCCTTCATCTCATCCATAAATTCATCTTCCAAATTGTGCTCCTCTATGTAATTTAAACAAACACAGGTTAGGAACACATATTTGCTGGAATAACATGTCATTCTTTCCACATTTACCCTGAGAAGCAAAAGCTGGCTTTCCCCGCTCTCATCATGGGACTGGAAATATTTTGACAGCTCTGTTTGATTGGCAGCTGTTTTGCTGTCTCATCTTCTCAATCCTGATCCAAGAAATAAAAGCTAAGCAAGCAGTGATGTAGCTAACAGCTGCCAAGATACTGCTTATTTTGACAACCATTTAACTGGGATAGTATATTGGGGTAACTCTTTGGAGTATAGTATATTTCTTGCCAAAATAACAAACATGAGACGGTCTTGCTGCTAAGAACAAGAGAAAAAGAAAGGTCAACAAAATTCCTTCTGGAGCTAGTTTTACCTTCATGAGATGCTAAGAAATGCCATAGAAGAGGCATAATCTTCAATAAACCAAGCAAGGCAGGGGAAGATTTAAGATCACCACAAGCCCCCAATTATAGGCAATTATTGCAACTGATCCCTTTGTTGCAACAGTACTTTCTT